TTTTTGAACATTAAAGCATGTCAACATATTCTGTTACACCAAATATACAAAATAATGATCTTTAAAAAAGCATCATATGACCCCTTTAAGTCAGTATGTGAGGATCACTGCTGCATGCTTAAGATCTTTAAATCACTCAGCAGTTCTTCAAAAAAATAGCATGTCTGCTTTTTCAGGAGACAGACAAGCCCTCTCTTCGCTGATGATGTTCTGATGAGGGACTAATGGCCCTACGCTAACTTACACTAGTGCGTTTTCGTTTTAAAAAGCATATCTTAGACGGATATGAGACTAATATGCCACTCTTCTAACAACGTAGCAAGTACACTGGGTGTTATGGGAAGTGTTCCCGGTTCTGGTTGTCCTAATTAATTCAGCCTAAAAATCCTTTAACGGATTTGAATATTAGAAATGTGTTAGTGTGTTATGTGTAAGCCAGGTTAAAGAGATGGGTCTTTAATCTAGATTTTAACTGACAGAGTGTGTCTGCCTCCTGAACAATGTTAGGTAGGTTATTCCAGAGTTTGGGCGCTAAATAGGAAAAAGATCTGCTGCCCGCAGTTGATTTTGATATTCTAGGTATTATCAAATTGCCAGAGTTTTGAGAACGCAGCGGACATGAAGGACTATAATGCAATAAGAGCTTGTTCAAATACGGAGGTGCTAAACCACTCAGGGCTTTGTAAGTAATAAGCAAGATTTTAAAATCTATATGCTGTTTAAAGTGAATTTTGAGTAAAAGCATAGTTCACAGCACTGTATTGGTGTATGTTTTGGCAGTAGCAATTTCCTGTACTTGCTTTGCAGCAGCAATAATCTACAACAACAGCAGTAATTCAGCAGCGTGGCAGATCTATTCCGCAAAGACCAATTAACATTGTCATAACCATTGCCATGCTAAAATCTTCAGAGTTGTCATGATAGAAATACGTTGGACATCAAATGTATTTATTTATGTAATATAAAAGGTAAACTGAAAATACGCCTTGAACTAAAACGGTCACTTTCAAGTGACTTCACAAGTCTCAAGGACGGTGTCTAAATAATTGCACGCACAAATGACGTCACTGTGTGTCGACCATCTTACGTACACTGTCTGTGCGAATACAACCCTTATAATGGTACTGGGAAATAGTTCGCGCAAAATCGTCCTAGTACTTTAGTACTGTACATTTAGTTCTGGAACTAAAGCGGTGCGAAAGGCCCTAATGACACTCGGCACCTCATTCCCTTCTCAGGGAACTGGGTTTACATACGTAACCCTTAGATGTTCCCTTTCAAGGGAACTCTAAGCTGTGTCAGTTGCTGACACTATGGGGACATTAATATCCAATACGCCATGCTGTCCAATGTCTGCCTGTGTGCTGTGAAGATCACCAAGCACAAACTTGACAGGCTTAAGCATTGAAGGACTTGATGTGCCTCAACCCAGAACAACCTAAACACATCAGCGGGTCCGTTAGGATACATCGTGTGACCCCACAGCTTTGCTCCCTAGAAAGCTAATGTTATTGGCATTAGAACAAAAGCCCTCAAGATTACTGAAACCGGGACTCTTGCATGAGACCAATCTGAGCGACAGCTATAGGAAAGTCTAGAGCCCTTGAAACCAGAGCTTTGACAGCCCTCAACAGCATGCTGAGCACAGTATTGTTGTAGACCATATTTCACACTATTCCATACTGTGGACCTAAACCCTAAAGAATCTTGAACAAAAAATCATCACTCTGGACCACATTTTTACACCCTCAGATCCAGTACCTCTATCCTTGCTGTTTTCCTGAAGCGGTTGCATCATATCACCACGACCAAGAGCTTCAGCGGTCCCAAGCAAACCTTACACAGAGGAGCATGCTGAACCACAGCATTACTTTGGACCAGATTAGATAGCACATCATATAATCTCTCTGACCTGCTGCCGCATATGCCTTGCCATGAGCCGTGAGGTGGTAGAGGAGACAGACTCATTTGATAACATCTGCCTCGACTCTACCCACCTGCGAAATCACAAAGCCACTGTGCTGCCACAGCAGACATGGGGCCTGAACAAACACTTGGCTCTCATCCCTCAAGAGCCGAATGCACTCTACTTCCATTGGCAAGGTGGGAGCCTTTAAAGAGGATGTGGCGCAATCCTTGCATATAACTACTGACACAGCCCATCCACACACACATAGTTTGACTGCATGGGAGATATTATACAATTATACATACATATTATATCTCGACACCTTAGTGAAATAAAAGAGAAATTAAAAGTTCACAGACTTATGAGGACAGCAGAGGAGGTGGATTATTAATAACATCCACTTTGACTTATCTCAGCTTCTAATTCCTCATTATTGCACACATTTCACATAATGGGCTTTCTGAAACAATACGAAAGCAATGGAGTTATATGGAGAACCTTGAGAAAGGAAGTTCCCTTGTCAAACTCATCCACCAATTCTATCTGCGATCCTCACAATCGAAGCCATTGCATTGCCTCAGCAGACGTGGGGCCTGAACCACGAGTTGCAGACGTTTGAATCTCATACACCCACCCCCGGTGGATTCGACGAAGGAGCGTCCAGTGGGCTTGCGGCAGGCCGCATCGTTCTCAAGCCCACCCGCTTCCGCTCACTCAAGCCCGCCTTGTGTGACGCTGTTTCATTTGTGAAAGCGAAACTACTTTGTTTGGCCTTCCAAAAGAGGACACGACTAGAAATCTGGTTAAGTTGTATTTACAACACTGTTCCAGAACAGTTCAATCCAAATATTCAGATGTGTGCAGTGCATTTTATGGAGGACCGTTTCCTGATCCTGCAGAGTAGCCTACAATGTCTGTGCACAAAGGCTGTTTCTATAAAGTGGGGCAGTTCCAACTTTGCAAGGACAGTCTGGCGCTTCTGACTCACAGCCTGCAAGTACGTTTTGCATATGAACCCTTTACGGTTCTGGTCTTATTGGTAGCATAATATGGCTATTTTATTTTACAAGAGTTGGTTAGCCTTATAGGGCAGACATGGTGAAATTAATGAGCCAATCAATGCATTTTTACCCAAAGCAGTGGTAACTGAAATCTTGTGTAATGCTGCATTTACACCACTAGTAGTCAAAAATACTAAGGGTGCTTTCACACCTGTAGATCGATTGCTTTTTTCTGAAACAGGGATTAAAATTATTACAATGTTGCTTTTTATTCTTGGTGCGGTTCGCTTCACACAGCAAAGTTTCTAAACGGACCAAATTTGTTAATACAAGTCACGCGCGAGTAAACTGTTCTCTCATTGGTCAAAGTTCCACGGTTTATTTTCCGGGATTCCACTGAGCTGTCACGCATGTCATCCGTCAGAATGGAACAATAACAGCTTTGGGGGCTTATTGTTGGTTTTTTTTGTAGCTGTCGTAATAATAATTTATTATTTTAAGCAGGAGTCCAGGATTGATTGGGAAAACATTTTTAAAATGCACCTACTACAAAGAAGAGCAATAAGACGGTATTATAAAATAAAAAAGTGCGCTTTAATTTTTGAATGGCAAAGACGTGCTCACCCACAGACTTTCACAGGTTCATTTTGAGGTATTAGCAAAACAACAAAGCTAATGCTTTTCACAGAACTTACGTAATTACCCATCATACATTGTGATATAGCCTGGTTCGTTGGTCCGTTGGATCGTATTGCTTTCTCACTACAACCGAACCGCTCCAGAGTTCGTTTCCAATCGAGCCGAGACCACCTCGTTCAAGCGATCTCGGACCGATTGCCCAAACGAACCGAGCTAAGGGGGGAAACACGCCAGGTTCCGAAACAACAGGCCAGGTGTGAAAGCACCATAAGTTCACATTTAACAAAAACACAAACTGATACTCTGTTGAAAAAGCACTGTGAATTTCTAATATTTTAACAGGATTTTCTCTCTCTCTCTTTTATGACATCACATATCTGGAAACTCAAAACATCTATTTCAATCCAAGTGAGACTCTGAAAATGGGTACATATTGGGCACAATATCAAGAAGCTGAAGTGGAGAAAAAACAATACAAGGAAGATTTGGACCAATTAAAATCAAAAGAAGAAAAACAAAGAAAAATACACGAGAAGAACAAGGAAGATTTGGACCAATTAAAATTAAAAGAAGAAAAACAAAGAAAAATACACAAGAAGAACAAGGAAGAATTGGACCAATTAAAATTAAAAGAAGAAAAACTAAGAAAAATACACGAGAAGAACAAGGAAGAATTGGATAATTTTAAATTAAGAGAGGAAGAAAAGAGAAAAATAGATGAGAACAACAGATCTAGAGAACAAGACGAGAAGAAGAGAATTCATCAAGCAATCTTAACTTCACAAACTGACACCTAATGTACAACACTATCACCTGATATAACAGTTCATAAAGAATGTTGAAACTGTTATTAATGCAAGACCTTCGTTTTTCTTTTATAACCAGTAAATAGGATTACTAATAGTAATTTGGAGTACTGTATTTTGTAGCACTCTTTCTTGCTGTTGAAAAGGATGAAAAAAATTGTATGCTTATCTTCTGTATGCTTCTATATTGCCTGCTTACATATTATATAATCCTCGAGTCCTTTAGGAATGATCTTGATGCACTTCATTTAAACATTTTATACTCTTTTATTATGTGTTATTAAACTCTATTGCTGTCAGATATGAGCATACCTATAATATTTTGTTGTTGCATCACCTTAAAAACAAAAAATAAACACATTTGTATGGCCATTCACCCAAACATTAAAAAGTTAACTTCTGAAATCCAAAACCAGTGTGCTTATCTTTATTATCTGGTGATTAGCTTGCAACATTCAAATCAAATATAACGGATCATGTTTTAATCTTTCTTTTTCAAAACGTTTGTTATTACACTTAGAGCATTTAGCACCGCATGCTTAGAATTAGCTGTCTGCTGAAAAGGAAATGTTTGAACGCATTTTGCAAGTCCTGAAAAATACATTTAATTAAAAAAAAATAATTATTGCTTATTAATGCAGAGATAGTCTGCATGTGAGATAAAAGTCACGTCTTTGTCCCATGCAAACAGAGATATATAAATAAACTTCTTATGTGGCTGGAAGGGGGGGAATCAAGTGTGATGAACCCTGTCTTGTGATTAGGACTTTTATTTTGAAATGTTTTGCTTTCTCCTGCTGTATCTGTATTTGCTTATTGGTTTCTGTTCTTGTTTGCCTCACTGCCTTTGTTCCCTTTGTCTGCCTTGTTTGTTTCTATGGCTACCCTTGTTTGTTGCAATGGTTACTAATTACTCTCACCTGTCAGACCTTTGTTTCCCAGAGTATTTATACCCTTGTGTATGTCTACTGTAGATGCCCTTGTTCCTGGTTATTGTTTCCAAGTTTCTTGTTTATCAGTGTTTGCGTTGTTTTGCCATCTTGGATCCACCTCATCTTGCCTTTGCTCAGTT